GAGGCCGTATCGTGTTCTTGCATATACATACGGTATGTATGTGTGTGCGGTACGGTGCGAACATATCCTCCGCGGGTCTGTCCAGGTGCTGCGGGGAATGGAAGCGGAGCTGTCTATTGAAGGGGAAAAGCTCTCCTGCGTTGCTAGTCTTAGAACGCGGGCTGCAAGCTTTGCTCAACATGCTGTGGTGCCCATAGCCATTCGAAATCGTGTTTAGAATTGCCCTGCACTGCCCGACTCATGAATCGTCTTTGGAATAAGGTGTGGTATATACATTAGAATAAGGTATGGGTTCTTAGGTGTTTGAGCCATGGGATTGTGTGGAGCCTTTATCCCTAGCCTTTGTGAAAAATTTACAAGTTTTTCACCTCAACATCGATGTGGATATAAAAAAGAATAGAATCCTCTCAGCGACCACCAAACTATGCGGCAAATTACCGCCACCCTTTTGAATTTACGCGTATCTTGACTGATTGCCAGCCGGTACCCTTGAAAGCTAAGTGCGAACGCACTTACACAATGGCAAGCCCATGTCCCCCTGCCCTAGCCCACCAACAGAAAAGAAAGCAACGTTACCTCCGCGTGACTCTCCCCACTGGACCAACCAAACAATAACCGGCCGGTCTCAGCAGCACAAGCCATCGTCTTGTGCTGACCAACGACAGAACGACAACATTTCGGAGCTTTGCCACCGCGCTCTCTCCTCCCACTTCGTTTGAACACGCCCCGTCGGCTCGGCGCTGCCCCCCCCCCCGTCCCCCCCTCTCCCCCCTCCCCCCCACGTCAAACACGTGTCCCTGACGAGGGGTTGGAATGCTGCGGTGTACCGTTTATCACTGCTCACCGGCGGCTCGGCGCCTCGAATTACTGCCACGCTGTGAGGCCCAATTACAGCACATTGCATTTGCGCAGACACACGGCGGGCCAGGGCGTATAAAGATGGGCAGAGGCGGGGCCAGGACACCGGGAAGGGAGGCCCACTGGCAGGAGCGGTGCCAGGGAAGGGCGGGAGACATTCCCTCCAAATAACTTGAAACGTTGTGTTAAGTCCATGAATACGCGAAAAGAAAGGCCGTTAAATATGTTTAGTTTTCCATAATCTTCAGGAACATGCTTTTGCTTTCCGGAGCTAGACAGTGAAGAAAACAAAGGAGATTCACGCGAAATGAAACAAAAATACTGCGAAAACATTTAGCACGAACACCAGGGGAAACGAATGCATATTGAGAAATGGGGCAGCGACGAGCTGGTCGTGTTTCTTAGGTGATTTGGGATCCGAATCCCCGGATCTCTCCGCGCCGAGCATACCTGGTCCATGAACACATATCATCTTTCTTGTTTTACGTCTACCGGCTGTGGCTGGGTGAAAGGTAAAATTTTACCTTGGACCAGTTGGAGACAAGTTGAGCCAGTGAATGTCCGGTGTTTTGACCCCAGTATTGATAGCAAAAAAATTGATGCGTGCCGAAGATGCCTAAATCAGTCCAAGGCAAATAGGTCTATGGCCGAATCAGCATTTAGAATGCGTGCCCATCGGCAAATAACCAGAAACATTGGGTGGATCACTGCTAAAAGGAATCCTGGTACATTCAAAAGGCATGCTAAAGCAAGCAGTACATGACTAGCTTTACACAACAGCTGTGTCTCCATTGAGAAAATGATAGCACGTCGGCATAAGTCCGACATTTGACATAATGCACTTATTCGCATTTTTGCATTTTGCACTTTTACATTTTGCTCTTTCGCATTATGCACATGCCATGTGCAGTTGACCTATGCCCAGTTACAAGTGATCAACACTGCAAAGATCAGACGGTGTTTCGCTCATCCGTCCTGACCATATCCTTGTGGGACTTTATTAAATCATCCTCTGGGCGTTGTCAAACCAAAGGAAGTTACTTAAATTGTCGGACGGCGGCTGTGTGATGCGGGCCGAATGGGCAAAGCGTGTAGGGAGCTCAAACGAGACACAGGACGGTTAAAGGACTGCCAGCTACGTCGGGACATCCACGCATTTGCGGATCCGGGACTCACAGCAGCAACAACTGCACGATTAGGTCTATGTCATGTAGAAACAAATTGCATCCAAGCAACGTCATCTGTGATTTTTGGAATACCTCACTATCATTTTCGGAAATCTCACCCATCGATGAAGCACGCGTAGCCGTAGATGGAGTGCACGAATGCTACTTCACACACTTCACACATGCACTCGACATTTCATCTATTGTTATGGTCGAATCTGGCTCATCCGTGACGGCAGCATCGCAACACTGATGGCGTGCCCCTGCCCGACGCCGCGTGGCTCAAACCCGAAGGCGGTCACACATCTTCAGCGGCCGTCGCTAAGCGTTCTGCAATACGCTCCGTCTCGTAACGTCGCGCGTGCGCAGCGAGACGTGAAAACCGTTCGGAATACCTTGTTTGAATCGCTCGAACCTTGAACACATCGGCGTAACCGTAGAGAGTACAAGAGTACAGCAACAACAACAACAACAACAACAACACAACCGCACAACTTACAACAACCGTAAGAGAGCAGGGTGCAGTTTCATATTTAGTTGGTGGGACTTCACAGACTTGCTCACAGAAGGCGTCTGTGGTGGCTTCACATCTCCCCTGAATGTACCCAACATCGCGTTCTTTCCCGCTAATTGGGGGCCATTTCCCGGACAATTGCTGTGGTCACGACGACCTTGTCAGCAGCGCCGTTGAGGTCGCCCGGGAGTTGGCACCTGCCCAGGCGGCATTTCCCGCTGCCATTGGCTGAGGTGGGGACGCCCACCGTGGTCCCCCAGAGGTCACAGGTCACACCGCCACGGGACGGGCAGCTGCCTGTGACTCAACTGTGACTCACAGCTGAGCCATGACTCGGTCGCCTCGGACAACCGCAAACGTGCTGTGAACACAGGTGAGTCTCGCCGGATGTCTCCGCATGCTGGCTGCATGCTTGCGTCTGGGCTGACCCGCAGAACATTGCATTCTCCGTTGGTAGAATCACTGGAGATACGTATTTCAGGCTGGATCAATGTGTGCCAACCTAGAAGTCCGCGGCATATTCTTGCCACGGCATCATGATGAATGATGCTATTTCTTTCCTCCTCCCTCCCTCTCTCTCCTCTCTTCCTCTCTCTCCCTCTCACTCTCACTCTCACTCTCTCTCTCTTTCCTCTCTCTCTCTCTCTCTCTCACGCTCTCTCTCTCTCTCTCTCTCTCTCTCTCTCTCTCTCTCTCTCTCTCTCTCTCTCTCTCCCCTACTGCCCACCCTTTCCTCTCGCTCCTCCTCTATCTGTCACTCCATCCCTCCTTCCCTCCCTCTCTCCCTTCCTTCCTACCTCTTTCCCTCACTCCCACTCCTCTCCCACTCCATCCCTCCCTCTCTCCCTCTCCATCTCCCGACGTGGGCCGCCCGCTCCGCTGCCCCCGGTGCCGTCTGCACCTGGTGCTGACTTCGTCTCTCCCACCAATCACCCCGCGACAGGAGCGCGGCGCGCGTCAAAGACGAGACCCCGTACCCGCATTAGGGAGGATCCGTAGTCAATTGTGCGGGGCGGTGGACGAGCCGCCTGCCGGCCACAACAATAGTCTGCCGACTCTGCGGAAGACATGAGCGGGGACGGCAGGCGGAGTGAGGCGGAAGAAAGGAGAGATTATCGGGGTCTTTCAGCGCACCCGTGGGGACAATACAACATTCGGCTGCATTTACCGTTAGCGGACTCTGGAGCGGTGAGGCGTTTGGTAGCCATGCTGTACTCACTGGATCTACGATGCACCGCATCGCGCATCATGTGCAGCTGCTGTATAAATGTGCATTTACAAATACGTGTCCAGTGGTCCGAATAGCCAGCCAGGATGAATACGGTTTTAAAATTAAGTACCGAACAGTACACCTTGGGCATGATATGTTTTTAAGTGGATGCTTCCTTCTCAGCGAGCCAGTAAGTTCAAAATTGCTCTCTTCTGCAGAAGCGAGTTATTGTATTGCAGTGCGTCTTATTGGTTATTTGCGTTCGTGGGAGGGAGAGGGAGAGAGGAAGTGTCTGGGAGGGAAGAGACAGAACGAAATAGCCCAGTGGAGGCAGTGTTTGTTCCACGGCCGTGTGAGGAGACGCGTGACTTCGATCCTTGCTCTCGGCTAAAGTTTGGTCGTCCTCGCGGCAGTCGGCATATGTGACTAAAGGCTAAATGTCCTCGAGGCTAAATGTCGAGGCTAAATGTCCTTACGTGTCAGTTGTATCACTAACACCAAGAATGATCGGGACAGAAGGAGGAAAAGTGTGATATGGAGAAGAATGGAAAGAGAAAAGGACATGGTGAGGATGAGAATGAGAGCAAGAACGAGAATAAGGGAGAGCAAGTCCGCAGAAAGGAGAAGGGAAACGGAGAAAAAGAGGAAAAGGAAGAGAAAAGGAAAAAGAAAAGAGAGAGTGAGGAGGGTGACGTGGGGAAGAAGGAAACAGGGAAATACCCCAAAAATAAAATGTGGAGTTGGGTGGGTAAGAAAGTGCAAGAAAAAAGAATGCTGTCACTTGTAAGTGCCACACAGGTTATTTTATATAAATGTATTGCATTTGTCGACAAAACACATGTTACACACTACACTAGCTTCAATATTGAGCCTCAAGCCTTTGCAGTAGGTTGCCACTCATCCTTTCTCTTCAAGGAACATTTAACGCATTCTTGCTGCCCATGAGCTATAAAAAGGTTTTGCCATCGATTACGTAAGCATGATTACGATAAATCGACGAATCGACAAATGCAGTCGCATAGCGGTCTCAGGACATTTCAGCTCAGTATCTCGCCAATTATGGTCCCCATTATCAAAGACTCTGCATGCCTTCGCCTTTTCTACTCCAGTTTTCTCATGCGAATGCCACCGCAATTACCAATGGTATACCATGGCAAATGCCATCGAGGTGACCGACTGTCGAGAGGCCGTAAATATCACAATAAACTCAGTTGTACTTAATCACACGGGCTGAGTCGCTGACACCGCACCATCAGCAGAGCTGCAGCTGCAGGGCCGATATGTACTCCATGGCCATCTGGAGCGTCTCGTGCTTGGAGAGCTGCGACTCGCTCCCCTGCGGCAGGTGGTGCCGCAGCAGGTCGAACGCCTCGTTGAGCCGCTGCATGCGTCGCCGCTCGCGGCAGTTGGCGCCCTCCCGGCGCCGGCGCCATACCGCCTCGCTGGCCGGCGCGCGCCGCTTCTTCCTCGGTGGCGGCGCCCCAGGTTCGGCCGAAGCTGGTCGTCTCTCAGACTGCTCGGCAACGCCGACGACCGACCGTGTTCGTGGTGGGAGATCAGGGGTGACGGAGATCCCGTGCGGCAACCGAATGACGGCAGGTTCTGAAATGGAAATGGCGGTTTAGATGGCATTGTTGCACGTGGTTGCTTCGAGGCGTTGCTCAGAATGCCCCCAAGATAGAAGCCTCAGAAGTGTTTGATTACGCCGACGTCACAAATGCTAAGAATAAATGCATGTGATCCCCAGATTTCCGAACGGTCGTGCTACTTAACACCTATCCATAATGCAAAAACTGCCCCAAAGTGTTCGGACGTTGACATGCAATTTCTGCCTTGTCTCTGAAAGTGCAACATCGCTCTTATCTGATTCGAAACACAAGGAGACATATAGCTATAAGTTGTAACGGAACTTTCCTACTGAAATGCGCAGCTTGTATGCGCTAAACTCAAAAAGTAATTTCTTGGATTTCAAGCATCGCAATTATTATCCCACAGTACTATTTCGCAATAACACTTTCTTCAGAGATTTTGGAGATGCTCAATAGATGTACAGCTCGGGGGAACCTCTCCAATGGCGGACATGAAAATCCCGTCAGGCATACGTAAACATATGATATGCTGTTGACTGCAAATATCGCAAGCCTGCACGAACCAGAAGTTGCTCTGGTGATTCAGCCACGACATTTTTTCCTGGCAGCTTGCATGCGAGGAAGCAACTTACCTCCCTTGACGGAAATAGCGTGTGCTTCCGGATAACTGCAGTCCATCTCAAAGACTCGCTTCATGTCCTGCTTCACGCGTGAAGTCATGGTGTGTGCAGAATGTAACAGCGGTACCCTGCAGTGCTGCATCCAGCGGTCTCCGTCATCAAGCGTGATACCACTGTCGGGGCTGTCCGGCAGCGTCAACGCCATGCCGTCTCCGTCCTCTCAAAGCGCTTGCCCACGGAGACCTCAACTACCGACCGTCGGTGCTAGCGCCCTGTCCTCCACTGCAGTCTCCGTCGTCTCCCCGCCGGCACGCGTCGACCAAGCCGCGATTGGTCGCCGTCCGCGGAGGGGGCGGAGCCTATCGGCGACGACGTCGTCTGCCCAGCCGTTTCTGCGAGACAGCGCTTGCGGACGGCGCGCGTCTGCCTGGCGGTGAGGGGAAGAGTTCGCGGCGCGGGTCAAAAGACGGAGTCAACCCCTGGTTACGGCGACCGCCGAAAGCATCACGGATGAGAGAAAATGCTGGGGCGATAGAGCACACGCACAACGCATGAAGCTTAACATGATGTAATGATATCTATTACTGGTGGAAGCAGTGAATATGATGCACATTTGGCACCTTTCAACCGATAAGAAAGCAAGAAGTGAGATCGCCGAGGTGCCGCTTTATGAAATTAGCTTGATGGTGTCTGTGATGGATCTGAAATGTAATTCCTATGCGAAGTTGAGAGAAGACTCGGCATTTTTCTCGATCAGGAACTTTTCTTTTCAAGATAAAAAACTTTCTTTTCTCGACCAAGATCACCTGCTTCCAGCAGCTTCCCCGTCCACAGTCATATTTCGGGCTGGTTCCTCAGACTCGAGCGCAAAGCGGATTACACCTACGATTCTGGGCGAGCTAACCGCGTCGCAGACCAACACTACTAGAGCAGACACTTTCTGAGATTCTGAGAACCTGCTCCACTCCGCACGGGCATGTTCTCGAAAAAGCCCACTTTGGCTTGCACGCCACAGGAATATGTGAACTAATGCATAATGCAGAAATATATACACCGTAGTTGCAAAGCAGAAATAAGCAGGAGGCATCCATTCACAAGCATTTAAGTGGCTCCTCCACGCCTGAACATGGTCGGCTTAGGCAAACCATTTTCACTTCAAAGCTGCATCTCAAGATGCCATTTCGTATTCTCTTGCATTTTCATGTCACTCCAGTTAGTGATTTTCTCAGCTCTGCTGAGGAAAATGAGTGAGTACTTAGGTCATAACTTACATTGTCTGAATGGAACGGACGAGGCACAAACCTTAATAACTACGAAATGTTGCAGATGCGCCAAAAGGCATAAATGATGCGGTACCGTTGTGCTATTCCGCAAAAATTGCATGCAAAGGGGCGTTGAAACGCCTGTAAAATCTGATAACCAAGAAATACCGACAACCAAGACCATGACAGCAAAATTGAAGGTTGTGAATTTAGCATGAGAGGATTAATTCCATTATGGGCAGTAATTTTTGTTGCAATTTTTAATGTCATTAATCTGTACGGTCAATGACCTTGGCGTTTCTTTCCAGGTATTCCCCAAAGGCTGGTCATCATCTGAAGCCAGGCTCACAAACCATCTGGCTGCCATTCACCTACTTCAAGCATGTCTTCAGTCATCAGTGAGACATGACCTGTAGATAACGTGACTGATGAACAATGATACTGATCAATGACCTTGATGATGTCAAATGACATGGCAAATGAAATGAAGCAAAATGAAACAAAACAAATGAAATGATAAAAACGGTCAAAGACCTTGGTGTTTCTTTCCAGGTATTCCTCAAAGGCCATTGATGAGCAATGATGATGAACAATGATCACTGATGACGGCACAATATTGCAGGTAGCCGCTTGATATTAGTAGCACTATATTACCAATGGAGGTATTCTTACGCTATGTAATTCAATTTATGAATTGTCCAATCTGAACCACTCAGCATGGATCTTCAGACCTTTACGTCGTCAAATATGACTGAGGTCTGAGCTATTTAGAGGCAATCACGAGCGACTGGAGTGCGCGGGACCGACGCACCCCCCCCCCCCTTCCCCGCCTTTGGCAAACGCGAGTTGTCGACAGTGAGAACCTCCTCCCCCCCAATTGAGAAGCGGGTGAGGGCCTTCGCATTAGGGAAGGCCCTCACCTACAGGGAGTCTTTTACACACGCTCGGACGTGTATTCCTACCCCGGCATCCATAAAACATTATACAGACACGCGTAATCCCATGACTTACGTCCATCTGTACTCAGGGGCTTTCGTAGGATTTCACGATGGGGAGGGGCGCACTTACAAAAATTCACCAAATTTGACAAATAAAGTACACCGCTCCGAGGACGCGCATTGTTTTCTTCGTATGTCGTAAAATAACATGGCATGCTTTCGATCTTATTCATACGTGTAGAGCTGTAATTTTTAACTGCCAGCGTTAAGTCATGCACACATTAATGAATCTCACAAATTTTGATAGGGGGCCATGTGTCCACCGAGGCTCCTAAGAACGCACACCCTGCACATTCTTTCCAGGGGTTCAAATTTTGAACTCGTGCTCCGCGCTGGTGCTCCCATACGTAACATGGGGTTCTTCCAGATAAAGACCTGTCATCTGAAGCTGTTGAAAAGTGAAGGCAAATACAAGTCCAAGTATGCCTTTATGGTTACCAGAATTGCTTGTGGTTTCCAACGGCGTAACACACACAGGTGTAGCTATTTGTGGACAATGACTGGCTCTACTTATTGGCGATAGTTACAGTTGCGCGGTAAGTACGCACTCATTGGAATGTATCGCACATACAATTTTTTCAGTTCTGGGATATTGCAGAATCGCGGGATTGCAAATTTGAAAATACCAGGAGGCCTAGATTAAAAGCAGCTCTGGAACAGATATTTTTGGTTGAAAAAGCAGAAAATTGGCAAATCGTCACCACAAGTTAAACACATCTGCTTCAGTAGCTATCATGTCCTTTCCCCAAACCAAGCACGTGTTCGATTAAAAAAACTGGACAACGTTTTAAAATGAGCATAAAAATGAGTTGATTCAACACTGATTTGGGAACGCTGCTGAGCAATTCAAATGTGATTTAAGTCCGAACCAAACTCGCTGTTTTGCTCGGACCATGATCTACTGGGTCACACATTAAGCAAAGAAGCGCACATTGCATCCTTAGCTGATAAACAATGATTCATAGCCCGCTTAGTGACAACACAGGAGGGTACAGCGGAAAAACATGCTAAATGGTGGGAGCAATGAAACCAGAAATTGGATTATCCAATATAGCATAAAATTCATCAAAATTCCAGTATATATATATATATATATATATATATATATATATATATATATATATATACATGTTTATATGTATATATAACTTACATAAAGTAGACTTAAGCTTTAAGTGTGATAAAGCGTGACATGCCGTTTACTTTCATTTGTCTGTATTTAAGACGATCAACTAAGGCATACATATGAATCGTTTTTTACAGACTTGGATTAGCCAAATACGAGGCGACGTAAACACTGGGCTGCACAAAGAACAATCCTCTGTGCTACGTTACACTAGGTGTGTGGGTGTCTAGTCACTGACTGTTAAAATCTTTTGCTTGACCTGGATAGCCAGTATCTATTTGGCTATTGAACTGAACTCAGTTCAGGTGCTATTGAATGCCACCATGGGGTAATAGGAGGAAGCTGCAGTGTATGTGAATCTGTGGAGGTGGTGTCTATGTAAGAGTCATAGTCCTAGATTGGGTTTTTGTGCACCTCAGTGAGATAGTCTTTTTGTCTCGTATGACGGCTCTCGCCAATGAGGCATCATAGATCAGGGCTGTCCTGACAGAATTTGGTGGAACAGGTAAGCATCTGCGAGAAGCTCAAACAGGATAAAATCTTTTTACTCCGGTGTTTTAGAATATAGGGTTTGAATCAATCCATTGTTGCCTCTCGCTGACTGAGCACGATTCCGTTATATCATTTGTTAGAGAAAAACCAGTCATTTCATTTTCTACTCCACTTAATTTTTGCGAAAGAGTCAACTTATTGGCAACTCATCCAAACACAGATGTGCTCGATGAGTCATTGATCGCTTCATTCAAGTACAGGTCTATCTCAAACGCACCTCACATGCCTCCCCTACTACTGATGAACCCACCCCCGGCGCCGGGGGCTCCGGCGGCGGCGGCGGCGGCGGCGGCGGCCACACCGAGGCTGTCCATTACCCTGCCCGGATGGCCGGCTCATTTCGGCCCGACACGGCAGCCCGCCGCCGCCGCCGCCGCCGCCACCGCCGGCGGCCGCGCCGCCACTGCCGTCGGCGCATGCGCTAATCGCACACTAATTATGCAAATGCCCGACCAGATTGCGGACAAGTGTGCCGCCCTGCCGGAGGTCGGCGCATGTCCAGCCCGGGTGGAGGCTAGCAGGATCGTTTAAGGGGTAACAGAGGCGCGTGGCGGGCGTCCTGCGCTGAGGCGTGATTTGCTGGGGGTTGGGTGGAGGCTAGCCGGAGAGTTTTCGGAAGTGAAAGGCGCGGGCGGTTGGAGCGCATTGAAGTGTACTTTGTGCGAGGCTGGGCGACTGCTAGCTGGCTCCTGGGTGCAGTTGACGGTTGTTGTTTGAATGTCGAGATGTTTGTTGCCTAGACACTGATTTGGACGCTATTTCGGGCTTGTCACGGCGAAATTTCAATCATTCGACGAAAAAGACAAACATCGATACAAAGTGTCTGCGTAGAGAACTTGGTATGTTAATAAACAAACAATGGTCTTGGAAAATTTTGGGTCGAAAACTGGTTTTCAATGACATGCGAGGCAGTATTTCTCCAGTAAACTTCTGAGCTCGTATCTGGCGTGGGGTTAGGTTTTGAACTGCTGGCCATCTACCCTCATTTTTTAATACCATTAACAACGGCAAAAACAAGAGATTAAGGTGATCCTTAACTAAATCTAGTAGCCTGCGCGACTTACCTGATATCTTGCTCACAAACTCCTTGACGTGACCAATTCAAGGGCGTGGTTGCTCAGCGAAGCTGGAAGGGACTGTAGCTTACAACGGAGATAATAGGGCTGGAGCTCCAAGGTCGGACATGGTGATATGGCTGTACTTTATGCAGGCATCCACCAGAACATTCTGGGCGGCTATGCTCTTGGTAGTTGCGTTACATGCGTCGATAAATAATCCACCCAAACCAGGATTCTGTAAGATAAC